ATATATATATATATATATATATATATATATATATATATATATATATATATCATTAAAACGATTATTTATTTATTTCAAGAGAAAGCATATATAATTGATACAATAAAGTCCCGACAACAAGATCGTGCTGTTGGTTCAAAAACATCGATTATCAAAACAAGAGTATGACGTTTTATTTGATTCTTGCATTACTTATTGCATTTAAATTAATAACATTTATTACAATTACACCGATGCTGTTGATACAATAGCATTTGATTTTTCGTGTATATTTCTATCGAGACTGATATATCATACAGTCATATATCGTACATGCACATACACGTACAAATAAATTTATGACAGTGAGTACAGAGGAAGAAGATTATGTGCGTGTCGAATGGGATATAAGTCCGTGCGCGATGGTCGATGTACTCAATCACGCAATTATGTGCTTAGCACAGACACGAACCGCCAGAAAATGGATGTAGAATGGACACGCACCAAATTAAAATGGATGTCAGGAACGTAGTTCCCAGTCAAAAATGGATGCAGATGGCGCTCCCAACTGGGCCGAGAATCGGTGTCGGCCAAAGCATATGGCATGGCCGCTCTCAGGCTTCTCTCTGTTTACAGCTTTTACGGAAAGGCGACAATTTTATTGGTTACACGTTTCTCGGATCGAGATCTCGAGCCGATTTCTAGCATCGTGGACACAAGCCTTAAAGCTCGTAAGGCCGACGGTCTTTTCTAGTATTTCGTCGGTGACATGGCCAACTATAAGACCATGGCTGGTAGCGCACAATATAAATTTGGTGTATTAGCAAAGATAGTAAAACACATGAAAGCGAGGCATCAGGATGGAGATGATCATGCCTTAACTCTGGAAGAAATTTTAGACGAAACAAATCAGTTAGGTGTTGGATTAAAAGTATGTATCGATTTATCTGTTAAGCTTTTATCAATTAAAGCAAGTCATTCAATTCTCTTTATATATTTTTAGATCAAACAATGGCTTCAGACCGAAGCTTTGGTAAAGAATCCTAAGATTGAGGTAACCTCTGACGGCAGATTTGTCTTTAAAGCTATGTATAAGATAAAGGATAAGAAATCCTTACTGAGACTTTTAAAACAGCATGATCTAAAAGGTCTTGGAGGTATTTTGTTGGAAGATATACAAGAAAGTTTACCGCACTGTGAGAAACACTTGAAAGTAAATAAAAGAATTCTCTAGAATTTTAACTTTGGCAATAATTTATGTGAGAAACACTAATGTTAATTATACATTTTAGAATCTACAAAATGAAATATTATTTATTACACGACCACTTGATAAAAAGAAGATTGTTTTTTACAATGACAAGACCACACAATTTCCTGTAGACAAGGGGTTCCAAAAGTTATGGAGAGCTGTTGCAGTAGATGCTATGGATGATCAAAAAATAGACAAATATTTGGAGAAACAAGGAATCAGATCCATGCAAGATCACAGACTGAAGAAACCAGCACCGCTCAAAAGGAAGAAACCTGTCAATAGGTGGAAACAATTTAAGAAACCTAGAGACAATGAACATTTGGCTGATGTTTTAGAGACATATGATAATTAAGTAAGATATTAAAATAGTAAGCTATATTAATGATATAAGGGAGAGTATGTAAATATAGTCATGATTTATTTAGTACTATATCATGGAATAATTAGCTGATAACTTGTTTTTTCCTAATTTAATAAATAACTAAAATTTGGTGGCATAATTAATTGTCACGATATCTCATTGTAAGTACAAAATAAATATAGAATAATTATAGTATAACACTTAGGCGTAAACTATTCATATATAACTCACGCTCCCAGTCAGCCTTTTGGATTGAAAAGATTGCACAACACTTGTTTTCTCTGGGAATGTGATAAATGTAGGAAAGTTAGAATCAGAGTTGGCCATTTTGTATTGTACTTCTTTCTGAATTTGTTTAGTATATATCTCCGAATCTTAACTTTAATAAAAATTTATGTAATCCGCGTATTGGGAAAAGATTATACAATAAAAATTTGTATATTTTATACTAATTGATATAAATCTCATTACTGTACAAATTTATATTTTCTTTGATGTTTGTAGCTTTTTGCCTTCATTGATCAGACAGATATAAATTGTCCTGGATGGTGTGAATCGTACGAATTATAACTATCCAAATTGTCCTAATCATTTTCTTAAAGATACAGTATTATCGTTCTCATAGATTTTTAAGATGCACTTTTTTATGATATTCGAGCGAATAGCGACGTCTACTCCTTCGGCAGAGTCGCTTACCCTCGCGAATAAACACGCGTCCTATTGCTGCTGAGCATTCTGTCTAACAAAGATGATTTGTTTCTTTTTCTGCCCGCGAGTACTTCTCTGCATAATTCGTGGAAGGATTTCGCGACCTAGGCTACCTGCAACAATCGAAGCTGTTTAAAAACGGCTAGTAATCCGCGCAATTGAGCGAAATTGCAATTACCTCCTGCTCGGCAGTAGTTATTTCGCTGAACTAACATTCGAAATCTTTAGCCAATATCTTCTTTCCTTCTTCGCCACTGACTTGACGTAAATGGACCGTATCAGCTTTGTTTCCAACAAGAGCGAGTGGCATCGCGGCTCCGGGATCGGCTACTGCGAGGGCTTTCTTCGCCTTCCTCACGAAATTAAAGGATCCCCCGTCTGTTATCGAATAAACAAACAGCAAATCGTCCACCTATTGTAAAGTTTCCATCGACGATAATTCATCTTCGCTCTGAAAATTGAAGACGTTATACATACATGACCAATTGATACCAATTTGATACGATAGATCTTTCGTTTGAAATTTTACCTTCGGGCACGTATCTAATAGCGAATTCGGTAGCTTGCACTAGTGCGCACTGAGTGCGCATTAAGGCTTGTTTACAGTACATTCTTATATTTAAGATCGTGTCTTAAATACATATTTAAGAACATTTTAGCTAATAAAATGATTCGTACGGATGTTATACATATCATATTATGGTTAAAAATATTTGAGAATTTATTTGAGAATTATTTAAGACAATCTTTAAATATAATAACATACTATGAACAAGCCTTAGTGCGCACTCAGTGCGCACTAGTGCAAGCAACCGAATTCGCTATAAAATCTCGAAAAAAATAGATTCTCCGTCAACTAGTATCTCATGCTTGTATCTAGTTTCTGAAAGATAAAAAGAGATTTTCTCCATTTATGTAAATGTAGGGACAATTATTCGTGAAATATATATAAAGATCCTTAGTTTAATTCTCTTTTATCGATAAAAATGTCTCCATAAAAGTGGCTTATAAATTTTGCAATTAGCTATAAGTTACATTTAGAGACATTTTTGTCTCTCCTGCAATAGGTGGTCGGCGGCAGCGTCCCAATTGACCACGGTACGATTGGACACAACCAACCGATGAAATTATCTAGTGAATTACTAGGTCGAACCAATCATTACAATATGTGTCCAATCGTATCGTGGTCAATTGAGTCCCACCCGTGGTCGGCTGGCTGTTGATTTATTCGATAACAGACAGGGGATCCTTTAATTTCGTGAGGAAGGCGAAGGATGTCCTCGTGGTAGCCGATTCCGGAACGGCGATGCCACTCGCTCTTGTTGGAAACAAAGCTGATATGGTCCATAAGTATTTTTAGAGACATTTTTGTCGGTAAAAGAAAATTGAAAATAAGGATTAAAAAAAATATTGAATTTGCAGATTCAATAAGAGCGAGTGGCATCGTGGCTCCGGAATCGGCTACCGCGAGGACATCCTTCGCCTTCCTTACGAAATTAAAGGATCCCCTGTCTGTTATCGAATAAACTAACAGCAAGCCGACCACCTATTGCAGGAGAGACAAAAATGTCTCTAAAAGTGACTTATAGCTAATTGCAAAATTTATAAGCTACTTTTATGAAGACATTTTTATCGATAAAAGAGAATTAAAAATAAGGACCTTTATATACATTTCACGAATAATTGTGACTACATTTACATAAATGGAGAAAATCTTTTATCTTTCAGAAACTAGATACAAGCATGAGGTACTAGTTGACGGAGAACCTATTCTTTTCGAGATTTTAGATACATGTCCGAAGGTAAAATTTCAAACAAAAGATCTATCCTATCAAATTGATATCAATTGATCATGTATGTATAACGTCTTGAACAATTTTCAGAGCGAAGATGAATTACCAACGATGGAAACTTTGCAATAGGTGGACGGATGGCTGTTTGTTTATTCGATAACAGACAGGGGATCCTATAATTTTGTGAGGATGGCGAAAAAAGCCCTTGCAGTAGCCGATCCCGGAGCCGCGATGCCACTCGCTCTTGTTGGAAACAAAGCTGATATGTTCCATTAACGGCAAGTCAATGCCGAAAAAGGAGAGATCTTGGCTAATGATTTCGAATGTTGGTTCAGCGAAATAACTGCTGCCAAGCAGGAGGTAATTGTAATTCCGCTCAAGTGCGCGGCGAATTGCTAGCCGTTTTTAAACAGCTTTGATTGTTGCAGGTTGCCTAGATCGCGAAATCCTTCCACGAATTATGCAGAGAAGTACTCGCGGCCAAAAAAAGAAACAAATAATCTTTGTTAGACAGAATGATCAGCAGCAACAAGACACGTGTTTATTCGCGAGGGAATGCGACCCTGCTCTACCGAAGGAGTAGACGTCGCTTTTCGCTCGAATATCATAAAAAAGTGCATCTTAAGAATCTATGAGAACGATAATACTGTATCTTTAAGAAAATGATTAGGACAATTTGAATAATTATAATTCGTATAATTCACACCATCCAGGACAATTTATATCCGTCTGATCAATGAAGACAAAAAGCTACAAATATCAAAGAAAATATAAATTTGTACAGTAATGAGATTTATATCAATTAGTATAAAATATACAAATTTTTATTGTATAATCTTTTCCCAATACGCGGATTACATAAATTTTTATTAAAGTTAAGATTCGGAGATATATACTAAACAAATTCAGAAAGAAGTACAATACAAAATGGCCAACTCTGATTCTAACTTTCCTACATTTATCACATTCCCAGAGAAAACAAGTGTTGTGTAATCTTTTCAATCCAAAAGGCTGACTGTGAGCGTGAGTTATATATGAATAGTTTACGCCTGTGTTATACTATTATTCTATATTGTTATTAATTATTCTATATTTATTTTGTACTTACAATGAGATATTGTTACAATGAATTATGCCACCAAATTTTACTTATTTATTAAATTAGGAAAAAACAAGTTATCAGCTAATTATTCCATGATATAGTAAATCATAACTGTATTATAAATAAATCATGTATCATAAATAAATCATGACTGTATTTACATACTCTCCCTTATATCATTAATATAGCTTTCTATTTTAATATTTTACTTAATTATCATGTGTCTCTAAAACACCAGTCAAATGTTCATTATCTCTAGGTTTCTTAAATTGTTTCCACCTATTGACAGGTTTCTTCCTTTTGAACAGTGCTGGTTTCTTCAGTCTGTGATCTTGCATGGATCTGATTCCTTGTTTCTCAAGATATTGGTCTATTTTCTGATCATCCATAGCATCTACTGTAACAGCTTTCCATAACTTTTGGAACTCCTTGTCTATAGGAAATTGTGCTGTCTTGTCATTGTAAAAAACAATCTTCTTTTTATCAAGTGGCCGTGTAATAAATAATATTTCATTTTGTAGATTCTAAAATGTATAATTAACATTAGTGTTTCTCACATAAATTATTGCCAAAGTTAAAATTCTAGAGAATTCTTTTATTTACTTTTAAGTATTTCTCATAGTGCGGTAAGCTTTCCTGTATATCTTCCAACAAAATACCCCCAAGACTTTTTAGATCATGCTGTTTTAGAAGTCTCAGTAAGGATTTCTTATCCTTTATCTTATACATAGCTTTAAAGACAAATCTGCCGTCAGAGGTTACCTCAATCTTAGGATTCTTTACCAAAGCTTCGGTCTGAAGCCATTGTTTGACCTAAAAATATATAAAGGAAATTGAATGACTTATTTTAATTGATAAGAACAGGTAAATCAATACCTGCTTTTAATCCAACACCTAATTGATTTGTTTCGTCTAAAATTTCTTTCAGAGTTAAGGCATGATCATCTCCATCCTGTGCCTCGCTTTCATGTGTTTTACTATCTTTGCCAATACATCAAATTTATATTGTGCGCTACCAGCCATAGTTTTATAGTTGGCCATGTCACCGACGAAATACTAGAAAAGACCGTCGACTTTACGGGCTTTAAGACTTGTGTCCACGATGCTTGAAATCGGCTCGAGATCTCGATCCGAGAAACGTGTAACCAATAAAATTGTCGCCATTCCGTAAAAGCTGTAAATGGATTGGTTGCTTTTTTCTCGGATCTAGAAGTTTGTTCGCGCGCATGCCCCAACGTGCTTCTACTCGCTCCAACATACTCTGATTGTCTCATGTCAATACGCGGACCAATCAGAGTACGTTGGAGCGAATAGGAGCACGTTGGGGCATGCGACACGAATAAACCTTAGATCTCGAATCAATTTTTAACATCGTGGGTACAAGCCCTTAGCGACACGTAGAAATCTCACCATAGCCTAGCACCCTCTCAGTCCAGCGTAGCCGGAATATGAAACATATTAGGTTTGTTCGAGTTGCTTGTACTATTCACATTTTTAAGGGTCTTAAGGCCTTCACATACAATTTGACATAACAATGAGTGCTTTCCAATTGCAATATCCCTAGACACTTTCATGCACACGGCGACACAAGTTCCAATTGTAATCGTCGACACAACATTACACATCCGTACTCAGCTCGAGGGGTGGGATCCGATTGACCACGATACGATTGGACACAGATTGTAATGATTGGTTCGACCTAGTAATTCACTAGATAATTCTTCGCATCGGTTAGTTGTGTCCAATCGTACCGTGGTGAATTGGGACGCTCTCAGCTCAAGGGCTACTAGTCGGTTATGTAAACTAGTGTTTTTTAATGACAATTAAAGTTAATAAGCGTAGCGGCTTGAAAAAAAACTGGGTGCTTTCCAATTGCTTAATACATCTTGGCATACTCGTACATAAAACCAGTTTATAGGTTACATATTATCTAAAATATCTTGTAAGATAATATGCAACCAATAAACTGGTTTTGTGTAACGGAGTTTACGCAATTGGAAAGCACTCACTGGCATTTGCGACGTGAAGTAGATAATATTTTTTTTAATATTTAGATTTTATTATTCATTATTAAAAAATACCAAAATATAAGCACAGTTGAAAAATAATCCTAACCCTACCCAACATACTTATACACTTTGTTTCAATTGAATCCTGCACAACATTACACTTTGTGCATCTCTGTGTATATATGTGTCAAGATGTGTTAAGCAATTCGAAAGCACCCAATTGGTGTTTTCCAGTTGCGTACACTCTGTTACACAAAACCAGCTTATTGGTTGCATATTATCTTACAAGATATTTTAGATAATAAACTAATAAACTGGTTTTGTGTACGTGTGTGTCGAGATGTGTTAAGCAATTGGAAAGCTCCCAGTAATATTCGTATATACTTAACCGAAAAAGAACTCCCGTTGGAAAATTATTTTAAGTCGTTTGTATTTCGTATGAAGAGTTTTGAAGTGCAATTGAAAAGATTTGTGTCATTCTATTATTTGTAATTAATTGTTCTTTTTTGGACTATATATTTAGCCGGAAATAATGACCGGAGGTAAATTAAACAAATGTTCGGTATGTTATCGTTTGTATTTCGTATGAAGAGTTATGAAGTATCATTAAAAAGGTTTGTGAATCATCCAGATAATTTTAATTAAATATTAAAAAATTATATATAAGGTGTAGTAAAAAGAAATCCATTATTTTTGCATGAAATTGAAGGCTTTATTTAGCATAGTTAGAATGATCCGATTTAGGTCAAATATGCACCATTTTGTTCGATAACTTGTTGCTATTTTGAAGATAATTCTATTATGCCTCTCTCATAGAAACCCTATTGGCAAAAAACTGGGACAGTCGATTTTCACAAGCTTCTTTTGAGGCGAATTTTTCACCAGCAAAATCATTCGCCAGAGACAGGAACAGATGGTAATCACTTGATGCCAGGTCCGGACTATAAGGTGGATGCATAAGAACCTCCCAACCAAGCTCCCGGAGCTTCTGGCGAGTCACTATCGATGTGT